GAGCCAGAGCCAGAGCCAGAGCCGGGCCAGGGCCAGGCCGCCTCGCCGGGCCGCGGCAGAGCCCGCTGGCGTCTCAGCCCCGTCTCCCACCGGTGCCGCTTGCTTCGCAGCGCCCGTTTTGGTTCGCCTCAGTAGCCTCCATCCCCAGTAAGCGGCCTTCCAGGGCCTCTTTCCACACAGGTGTTCCAAGGGAACAGCAGAAAACGAAGGTGTCGACGCAAAACTCGCACCGGGGGCGAGGCCGACGAGGAGCACGGCCGTTGGCTGGTCACCGAACCCCGGTGCCCAGCTTCGGAAAGTGGCTCCCGGGGAGACGTGCCTAGCCGCACCCCCGGGCACGGCAGGAACCCGGTACGGAGCCTGGGAGAAGCCTCTTGAAAGCACGAACTTCTCATCTCAGGGCTAGAACACGTTCCGCTTGCATCTTCTAATGATGTTCAGTTAAACACCCACTTGGGAAATGTTAAGATCCTGTGGAAGAATATTAACTGAAGTAATTTTTCAGCACCAAATGCATCCTCTACCAGGCATTTTCAATACCTTCCTCTCCCCTTTTTAATGCACCTGTGGAAGTTACCACATGACACAGACATCCCCAAAGCTGATTGACGGTTGGACTCGATGATCCTAAAGGTCTTTTCCAACCTAAACGATTCTATGATTCTGTGAAAGCAGCTAAAATAATGGCACTGATTTGTATGCATTTGCTGTGTTCATTGAACTCCCATGGGCAGCTTGTGGATGCAATGCAATTCTCAACCACTGTGATAAGTTGTTTACTCGGGTGACAAATGAGGTGTGTCATTGAGTGATCCCATAAGCTAGATGTGAGAGTCTTCACCCGTAAATTCCAGGAGATATTAATTTAAAAAACATCTAAGACACTATGTCAATGAGATTTGGAAAAACAGCCCCCCCCCCCAACTTCCCTTCTGCAGTTAACTCACTCCACCACCTCACAATCAGTCCTGTTTTCTGTTTACGTTTCTCTGCACAGGTGTACGTCAGCCCTTTGCTATGGGAACGACCTTCCGCACAGGCATGCACAGGGCTGTGTTGGGTTGCCATGGAAATAAGCAGCAGCAGCATCATCATCATCATCACCTCCATCCTGGGCATGGCCAGATTTGACTCTCTGATTTCTGCAGAGGAGACATCACAAAACCCAGGCTAAAAATACATGGCCTTATGGATGAAAACCAAAAAAATGGCAGGTAGCAATGGTCATGGCTGCGTACTGCCGATGTGGCTTCAGAAGGTTTAATAATTGCCTGGGTGTTTGGGGGAACTAAGCACATTGCCAAAGTCATGTAGGATAAAATTGCAAAACAAATTGCACTGTCTTGGTGCAATTCAAATTTCAGAAGCCAGCCACATACCAAGGCCTGCACCAAGGCCGTCCCGCCAGTGTGCAGGTAGTGCCCATCACACAGGGTGCTCAATGAAGGGGAACGGCATCAGTCCTCTTGCAGATGGTCCACTGCAATGCACTGATACACTTCACTCCACACTGCACACTGTTACGAATATTCCTGTTGATTAAATTCGTTGTAGCAGAGGTTTTTACACACACACACTGCATATTTAACTATTTTGTATATTAGTCTGCAGAACAATAATGCCTCCCTTTGCTTCCTTCATTTCACAGGTTTGTTTTAAGCACTTCACTTTTGCAGCTGCTGGTGACTCAAATGTGCTGTTATCTGAAACCCATGCGCATGCATGCCTGATCTTTCCTATGAGTTTTTGTAGCAGTGTAATTTCCACAGTCTTACTCCTGATTTGTGCTATTCTGATTTTTGAATCAGATAAAGTAAAGTCAAGCTCCATGAACTGGCACTCAATAATTCTTATATGTATATAAAAGGTACTCCATGACCCACACGATGGAGAAGGTCAGAAGAAATGATCATAATGGACTCTCCTGGCCTTACGCATTATGAATCTCTGAATTTATATATTTGAATGGATCTGATTACTGTCTGACACTTGCGAAAAGTGCTAGAATTCACAGAATAATTTCATTGCCATTTAAGTGCCCATTATTTTCACCTTAAAGAATCCATTTCTTCTGCTTTCTCTGCGAGCTGTGAAAAATTAATGTTTCAATCTCTTATGGTTCTTTTTCAATTTTCTCTTCTTCCTCTTCCTTTATGCACTCTGCAGATCTTGTTCCAGGTTTGCACACTTTCTGACATGAGCTTGTTGGTGGGCGATTAACTCATCCTCCCCAGGAACGGACACAAGCATTTCATTACTACAGCAACATGTTTATTTTTTATTTTGGTAGACTGGTGAATAGCAAAGGGCAATGAGTTTACAGCTGAGCACCATCCAAACAGGCTGCTACTGAATAAAAAGCAACTTAAACTATTTCCATGGTAAAAGCACCACATCAAAAAAACTGGCAAACCTGTGCTTTCACCTGAATCGTTCTCCATTATACCAAAAAAAAGTATGACTCAGAAGTTAGAGAGCATCCACCTTCTTAGGCAGCATGGCCAAATTATACCCTCAGCCTGCAGTGAGGGGGTGAGCTCAGGGCTGTGGGTTGCTCCCTCTCACGGGCAGCATTTAGCAGAGCCATCCTGCAGTGCATCTGGTTTGTGGTGGCTCTGTGCCGGGGGATCTGGAGAGACACGACAGGGTGGCAGGGACGGAGCTGGGGGCCGTCTCAGCTGGGGGTCTCACCCCACAGAGGGGCAGTCGTCATTTAGAAGCAGCAAAGGACATTTAAGCTGGAGCTGTCCGGCGGAGCCATGGATGCCCCCCCAGTCTTGGCAGCTAAAAAGAGCGTGGTTCTTTGCGAGCATTTTCCCCGTGGGCCACAGTCCTGTGGGCTGTCCCGCAGCAGCTCTCCCACCATGGGGAGAGGCACTGGGAAGCCTCTCACCCCCCTCCAGCCATACCAGACTGCCGGGAGAATTTGGACAGGCAAAATGCTCCTGCCTGCTCTGTTGGAGCCTGCTTGAGCATGGCGGGTCCCAGGGAGCAGACTTAAACCCAAGAACTCCTGCAGAGTGAGGACAGTTATCCTCCTCCATAGGAATGCTTCCCGCTGTTTTATTGGCACTTTGGACTTTGGTGTAGCAGTATTAAACTGGTTTATTTTGCTGAACTACCAAGTTACAACTTGTTATTTTACACAGAACACCAAAACAGAGAACATACACCCTCCTCCCACCCCCCTGAAATACTCATTTAAATTAAAATACCAGTAGGAGCCAACCTGCATTTCTGTAAGCTTAATGCCCTGTTCTGTTAGCAGAGAGAAATGTATGGAAAAGCTTAGTATGAGGTGGAGTAGCCTGACACAAAGCAAATCTCCAGAAGCTACTTATTTTCATAGTACTGTTGAGACAAAGAAAATATTTAAGTGGACTTTTACATAGTCCCCAGCTGGTTGCGCACAACTTAATAATGTAAAAAGTGCTTGTTCCCAAATGGTGCTCCAGCTTCAGCACTGCTTACAGAACTGTTGTTTTTCTCTGACAGACAAATGGATCGTCTTCAGCTGCCCATAGTAGATTGCTCTTGAAATGAAATGCTCCACTAAGATCTGCCTCTCATATGTATGTGTCACTGGACATACTTTGTGATAGAAATACAAATGCACCATGGAAACAAGCCTCTGGGACACAAGGATGTAGATTGGATGAAAATCTGCAGAAGAACATATTGTACTTAAAAAAAAAAAAAAATCAAAACCCAAACCATAGAACATTTTGAATTGATTGTTTCTAAATATTTTCAGAGATTCCTTAACATTCAAAGCAGTGGAAAGTTTCTCATCATGTCATTCCCAACTAAAAAGAGGAGAAGAGCCTGAATACCATGAATAAGATTGTTCAAAAACATTTAACATTGACCTAACTCTGCCCTTATGTTAAAGTTGGCAGCAATTTACTGTTTTCTACATGACTAAATTTAGCCTGATGTTGAGAATTTTAGAACAAAAAAATCCCACCATGAAGTACTAACTCTTGAGATGGGACTATACAAAGTCTCTGTCAAAGCAATCCTTTCAATAGCAATCTGAATTAAATATTCACCATGCCAACCAAAATAACAGCATTTCAGATCTAACATCTGCCAGTGCAGACAGCGTGAACAACCCATCAGACCAACACAAGTTAACCAAGACAAGGTTTGGGCCAGCAACATAGCTAAGACCCAGCACTCATCCAAAGAGCTTTACTCATTCTTTCCTGGACTGAGCCAAACATACAGCATTGGTCAAAAGCCTGCAGCAACACGGCAAAGATGTAGCATGTAACAGCCTTTGGGTAAGTCACGGGTGTGCAAGAAGGTTTAGCACCACAGTGTGAGCTTACTATTTAGTGTCAAAGGTTACTTATGTGACAGCTAGCACATCAACTGGCATCATCTTTTTGAAATAAATAGTTTTAGCTAAAAACCAATACCACCTGAACGTATCAGTAATTTACATTTTGTCTTGTTTCTACTTTCAAAGTTTTGTAAGCAGTCGAGATTATGAGCTAAAAACATATACATATATATTTTAATCAATACTACAACCTTTGTCATTTAGCAAGTTACAAGAGTCCAAACACAGGGGGTTTAAATAGAGTCATTGCTGGAGGCAGAGGGGTGTATTTTCGATGTCCAGTAAGACGTTTCTACCCTAGTTCCATGCTTCCAAGTAAAACGTAATCTAGCTGTGACATTTATTGCGATAGTAACTGGTAGCACTAATGACTTTTTTTTCTTCAGGAATTTGTTTGCAGTCTGTTTCCCTCTAAATTCAAGACGACAGAAGCAAAAGAAATCACATTATTTCCCCTTC